ATATGCACATTAGTAACAAATCTGCTAATCATAACTTACAAAGGGGAAAATAAATAACCACATAAAAAGTATCTCTACATGTTATAAATGAATGAAGCTGTGCTGCTTACATATATATATGGCAAGCAACTAATGTAATCTAAAATGGCTGGTTCTAAAGAAAATTGATGCAAATACCTTGTCTCAGGGCCCAGGCTCTGAAGTATGATACATGACAAAAAACTAAACTGGTCTGGGCAGACATATGCAGCTACGAGCGTTGATCCCTAAAGGCACAGGGGGTTCGTAGGAGGAAGAGGGAAAGGATGTTGTACTCTGTGGGATTTTGACCGGCTGGCAGGATGTATGTAGCAGTTTGAAGCATCCCTTGGTCACTCCTTAAAAGTGGATGTAAATGAAGTGTGCTCTTATGAAGTTTCTTGTATTTTTTTTTTCACATTAATTCTGGATGCATATGTGGTGGATACTTCCTGCCATGCCAATTTACTTCTCTATCAAAAAGGTTAAGGGTAATTAAAATACCTTAATGTACAGTGTTTAAATAAATCAAAATAAAAATACATAAATCACAGCTGATCACTTAAAATTGTTATTAACAAAGATGCTGGAATTGGCAATCATTATTAGAGAAAATATTACATTTTCTTGACAACATGATGACTAGATAACAATACGCACAATCATCATCACTATTACTTCTTTTAGGTTGGTAAATGTGTACAAGTATAATTGCACACATCCCTATTCAATTTTGTTTTGCCAGTGTTGACCTTGTATAACTGATGGCTCTTAGTCCCATTATCATGACACATTAGCTTTTAATAGCCAAATTCCTAAGACACAAGCTGTACCATGAAATAAAGTACATCATATACCTTGTAGTATCTGACTGCTCGTGCCTAAAGGGTGATTGGCACATTAAATAAGCAGACATAATGGTACATCAATTCTTAATAAAAGCTGCACAAAGGATTTAAGACTGATAAAACATGACCTGAATTAAATTCTGTGAGACTTTGTTGTAAATATTTTATGATTTAATTAAAATACATTTTTTTCTTATTAATGGTGTCAAAAATTAACGTTGCCTGCTATAGAAGGGGCATAGATCATAGAGAAAAACATCTATACTTGCACATCCCCAACGACTAGTTTCCTTTGCACCAAAAATGTTCACCTGAAGCATTCACATGAGCCTCAAATTAACTTGGTTCATTACTGACCAATATATTGCAAAAAACAGAATATAAGAAAAACACATTAAGTGTGAACAAAAATGGCAAAAACATAAGCATAAAAGACATAAATCAAACAAATGGTGAGCTAAAATTTCAACAACTGTTCTGATAAGTACAAAAAGATGTACAAACAAACGTGTAAATATATCTAACCATAATAGAAAAAGAGAAAAGGAAATTTGATAAACAATTCAATCTTCATGATGCTTCCCGGAAATTATTTCACCGTCGCCCTGCACCTCAAAACACATCAACCTGTTTTGACATTTCTTAATTACATTTCAAAACAAATCTGCAAAAAAAAAAATGCCACAATTCCCACTCAAAAATTGGCCACTGGTTCCAAGCCATCATGTTAGGAACAATTATCTGATCTGTTGAACACCATATGTGTTTTATGACAATGGGGGAGCTACTTTACAAACAAGATACATGACAGATGCTTACACTTTTCCTTTACACAATTCCTGAGATAACAGCTAAAAGGGGGATCTGTGATATAAGAAAAGCTATGCTTTACAGTCTTTCCTTAACTTGGAGAAATAAAAAAGATCTTCGAGTAATATACATTATTGTCATTAGTGTTGGATACTTAAAACTTAATCCCTTGTCAGACCTGCGAGACACACACAGAAACCAATGCAAACCAAACGAAGCACACCAGCTTGGTAACTTACTTTCTGTTTCTCTCTCCTATTTTCACATACTAACATAACTGAACACAAATACACACTCACACAAACACACATTGATACTTCGCTACTTTTGTGTGTGTGTGTGTGCGTGTGCGTGTGCGTGTGCGTGTGTGTGTGTGTGTGTGTGAGTGAGTGAGTGAGTGAGTGAGTGAGTAAGTGAGTGTGAGTGAGTAAGTGAGTGTGAGTGAGTAAGTGAGTGTGAGTGTGTGTGAGTGAGTGAGTGAGTGAGTGAGTGAATGTGTGAGTGAGTGAGTGTGTTAGTGAAAGAGTGAGTGAGTGAGTGAGTGAGTGAGTGAGTGAGTGAGTGAGTGTGTGAGTGGGTGAGTGAGTGAGTGATTGGGCGAGTGAGTGAGCAAGTGAGCGAATGAGCGAATGAGTGAGTGGATGAGTGAGTGAGTGAATGAGTGGGTAAATGAGTGAGTGTGAGTGAGTGTTTGTGTGCATGCATGTGTGTGTGCATATGCCTGTATGTTGTATATGTGCTCCATATGTATGTATCTGTATACATGGAAGTGTGTGGGTGTGTGGGTGTGTGGGCGTGAATGGGTGGCTGACTGTGAGTGGGTATGTGCGGGTGTGCAGATGGTTGAATATGGGTAGATGGGTGGGTGGTTATAGGTAGGTTAGTGGCTGTGATAGGGGAAGGTGGGTGGGAGTGGTGTGTGGATGTGCATGTGTGTATGGATGTGGATAGTATGAAATAGCAATTTATCAGGGTGGTGTGTGTGTGTCCAAGAACGAAAAATCTTGATTATGAAGATATCCCTTTCTTCTTACTAAATGTAGTTTCCTTCATCTACATATATATATTTTTTAATATACTTCAACCTTATGAACACAATTCTGGTTTGCTTCAAGCATAATCACACTCATGTTTATTTTCATACACATGCAGTATAAAAGAAGATATAATAAAATTGTAATAACACAAGAAAAAAAAAATAAATAAATAAATAAAAAAATAAAATGAATATAATATGAAATAAATAAATAGACAAAAAAATCCATCCCCGCATAAACATCGAGGTTTCTCTCACAGAATAAACTGATACACTCATAACACCAACACACAACAGATACTACATATACACCATTTCATATTAACCAAACCAACCCTGCCCCCCCCTCAAAAGAAAAGGCTGATATCTTCCTACCATAATAGTATCCTCCATTCCAGATCAAAAAAAAACAAAAAAAAACTCTTTTTGTAAAATCAAATTATCATAGATATACATAATCACACACAAAAATATGGAATTTACATCACACAACTTCAAAGACAAGTGATACAATCGTGCTGATGTAATTTGAATGCAAAGACATGCCTGTGCACAAACTACACTACAGAAAGAGTTAATTAAAACCTTCATAATCAAAATTCATACCCAGTTCTGTTTAAAGAGGTATGGCTAGTTTGCTTCAAAATTCAAGTGATTCAGTAAGGACAACGATGCCGTGTTCTGTAGAAAAACATAGATCACTTTTCTTCCTATTTCTTTTAGCTTGACATGAAAAATTCAGAGAATCAAACAAAGTTCACTTATGGTTATTAAAAAAAAAGGTTGTTAATGAATTTCAGAATAAATGTATCTGACAAGAAAAAGTGTCATACTGATTCAGATATCTGTAAACAAGTCATCTTTTCTACTAGTACACTACTCAAATTGACACAAAAAATATAAATAACAAAGTATGAACTGCTGACCCTAATTATCAATTTGTCTAGTATGTCTCTTATATAACTCATTACATATACTATTTATTAAAAATGAACTTCGTATATACAAGAAAGTGTTCTTTTGTATTATGCACTACTAACTTCAAAGACAATATCTACTGATTAAGTAAACTGTGCTACAATAACTTCTGACATTAATACTATGTGCCCACTTAAGTCTTCTATAGACTACTATAATTCTTTAACTTTAAAACAGGATGTATGTATTCTTTACAAAAACAAAAATAAAAAAAACAAAAAAAAAAAAGGTTGTTAATGAATTTCAGAATAAATGTATCTGACAAGAAAAAGTGTCATACTGATTCAGATATCTGTAAACAAGTCATCTTTTCTACTAGTACACTACTCAAATTGACACAAAAAATATAAATAACAAAGTATGAACTGCTGACCCTAATTATCAATTTGTCTAGTCTCATATATAACTCATTACAATTACTATTTATTAAAAATGAACTTCGTATATACAAGAAAGTGTTCTTTTGTATTATGCACTACTAACTTCAAAGACAATATCTACTGATTAAGTAAACTGTGCTACAATAACTTCTGACATTAACACTATGTGCCCACTTAAGTCTTCTATAGACTACTATAATTCTTTAACTTTAAAACAGGATGTATGTATTCTTTACAAAAAAACAAAACAAAAAAAAACAGAAAACTATTTACAAAACAATTATATAATTCATCTACCCAAGGGAAACTACTTAATTGTCTAAATCTCCATTATGAACAACTTTGGAATTATTATGGATACGATTAGCCTGACATAAAATCATGCAAGTGTGTTTTTTTAAAGGCAACTAAAAAATAATAATAATAATAATAACAAAATCCATTATTAACACATTGTGGCTCTACCATTGGCAGCAATGAAAGTTCCTCTTTACATATCACTTCCTCATAATGTCGTAGTTTGGTAAAGTAAGTCACACGCAATATATATGCATCAGATAAAATGGAAATGTTAAATCAGCTTTAAAGATTAAAAAAACTGTAATCAGAAATACCACAATCAGACAATTAAACATAATGAAGGCAAAAGGACTTCTTATGCAGTGGATATCTGCAACTAAAGAGCCACTCAATTCTAAATCCATATTGAAATCTATGTACAAATCAAGCAAAACAGAAATCCCTTTCTAGAATACATGTGCAGCAAAAATATTCTAAAATATGCTCTTCAAAACCACTACAGAAGGGACTTGATAAGCTACTTAAAACATGTAAAACAGGCTGCAAAAGGTGGCAAGATATCTTTAACTTGAAGAATTCATTAATCTCAAATGTCTCCAGGTTTTGGAATTGTTGTTTATTTACTGTGTGTGTTTTTTTTGTTTTTTTTTAACCTTTTTTATATTTTACAAAAATACTGAATATTTTGTTTAGTAAACCTAACCATTCCTTTATTAATTTTTCCTTTGCTACATGCCATAGCCTGCAAGGAAAGAGACTACAGCACCAGCACATCGCATGCAAAAACATGGCCCGACAAACGTTATAAAATGACAAGTGCCAGTTCTTTCTTTAATACAAAACACAATTTATTCATCAATGTCACCAAAAAGATGGTCATCTTGACTGACTCGCAAGTACATATTTGGTTATGGCAGTGGAGATGTCAGACAGTGTCATCTCTTCTATTCCCAGCTCAACTTCAAAGAGGAGGTCATGAAAAATGATGTTTTGCCACGGATAAAAACTACACGCTCATCTGTCTATGGGGGACTACGCCAGAATTCGCCACAGTAATAGGAACTCTGGACATCCATGAAATCCTAAAGGTGCCAGCTATTTTATTTTTCCTTCCTACCTATGAACATATCCAAATCTATAGACTAAGACTGAGCTGATACAGACTACGAGCTCTATGATATGGCTAACAGGGCCACTGAAGGTATGATTATTTTAAAGAATAATCAAATATGGAACAAAACAAGGAAATTGCATTAAAATACAAATAAATGAATAAAACAATAATAATAATAATACTAATAATAAATCATAATCTACAATAACTAATCTATTGGCACTTTGCTACTGGTAATCTAGGACTCAGCACCACACAGACTTGAAGAGCACTAACTGGCTAATCAGTGACCTGAACAGTAAAATAACCCAAACACTGATCTATTGAATGAGAAAAGTTTGAATTCTGATTTCTGATTGACTGCACTCTAAAACATGTTTGGATTCACTTTCAGTAGGGTGAATTAAATGTTCACATGGCCAGAGAGAGTGCTAGATTATACAGAACAGAAAATATAGCCAAATAAAAGTGAAGGCATTAATCGTGTGTGTGTGTGTGTGTGTGTTTGTGTGTATACATATGAATATAGGTATGTGTAAGTATATTGGTATGTGTACGATTATGGGTGTGGGTGTGGGTATGGGTATGGGTATGGGTATGGGTATGGGTATGGGTATAGGTATGGATATGGGTATGGGTATTGATATGGGTATGGGTATTGATATGGGTATGGGTATTGGTATGGGTACAGGTATGGATATGGGTATGGGCATGTCTCTGGATATATATGTGTATACATGTGTGTAAGAATATGTGTATGCATATGAGTATATTTATGAATATGTGTATGCATATGTGCATGAAAATATATATAAGCATGCATGCATATAAGCATGTGTATGAGATTGTTAATGTGTATGCATATATGCATGTGAATGAGCCTGTAAACTCAATGTCGCTGGGAAAATGCTGTGAAATGTCTCTGCAATTGCTTCGCCACAAAGGAGTCAATTAGTAGACCTTGTGACCTTCCCTGATTTCACCTTTCCTTGAATTTGCAGGAAAACCATTTTTTTTACTATTGCTATGAATATCAATGGAGTTATTTTTATCTTAGACATTATAATTACTATGAAGTTATGAACATTAGTAAAGCAATGTAAGATAAAGTAAAATACTTTTGAAAATCAAGGAAAAGGATAAACAGACGAGACAGGCAGTACTCGTAAATGGCATATTTGTGACTTAGTACAAGTGTAGCCATCTATGTGTAAAAACAAATAATAAAGTAAACTCACAGTGGGCAAGGGATGTACATACATGCCACACCCATTGGCTTTGGGTTAATGTGTATGGATATATACATGTGTATGAGTATACTTAAGTGTATCTATGTACACATATTTGTATGTATGTAAATATGAATGCATATATGTATGTATCCATATATATTAAGTACATGCATGAACCATGTTTGCAATGAATGAGTGTGTAAGCTATGTGGATGTAATGTGTGTGTGTGTAAGATGCATATGTGCTGAGAGATTTTAGTTTCATTTCAAGGCAGAAGATATTGGACATTTCTGTAGTTAAGGGGTTATCATACAGGGTTTATAATCCTTGACTATAAAAGGCTGTGAATACTCTATTTTGTAATTTTATTACTCTCTTCTTAATGTTGACAAAGAATGGCAATATCCATTTTTCTGGATTCTTTCTGGATTTTGCCAATCTTGCAAACACACCCGAGATCAGCATTTTCAAATATACAATATCTGTACTATAGATTCTTAGCCATGTTTTTCTTTGAATGAAATTTAAATTGTAAAATCATATTCTTACACAGGAATATAAATAATTCAAGCAAATGAAGAAAACCAACACAGATAAATGACTAACGGGATTGTGTTGCTGTTGCAAAAGCCATAAATGATGTCATGGTTAAGCGTGCCACCCATCACCTGTCATTATTTTTGTTGTACATTTCAGGTCAGTGCAGATTTACCAGCACAAGGATATAGTTGCCTTGAGAGGGCACCCTCCAGGACCTGAGGTTATTCATGAATATTAAAGTCTCCAGTTACTAGCATACTAGGCCTGTGTGATAACCCCATAAAGGATGCAAAGTATTATACAAATTACTAATCATTGTGCTTGAGAACTTTGGTCTATATAGCTATAAATAATTGCCTGTAAATTATAGAAGCCTGAAGAAAGTGGGAACTTCTCTACAGTTTTCCCAAATAAATATGAGGTAACAAAAAGGATTTTAACCCATTCACTGTCTCTGTCAGCAATACACATTCGTTATCTTTATATCCCCTGTAATAGCTCTAATGCTGCTCAATCTCATCTATGATTTGTAGGGGACACGCTACCACAAGTCCCATTATAACAGAGAATGCGTTTAAGACCTACAGTATAACATTGGTCATAGTATCATTTATATGGCAGTTAGTAATACTCAGTATGAAATCATATTTCCTAAATTATACTAAATAATAAGAATTCTAATAACTCAAGAAAGATAAATGTTACTTTTGAAAAGTATATAGATAATACACTTCTAAAAATCACATCACCCAGTGTCATGTTACTTAGATAAGATAGCTATGGAAAATTCCTATCCTGGTACTTGTATTTTCAGTGAGCTAAAAACTCAAGGTTCCCCTATCTTTGAAGAAAAGTTGTTCACTATTCCTAAAATTAGTTACACCAATATATTTCATGAATCTCCAAATCAAATGATTACAATGCACATCAAAGAAAATAGATATGAGTTCTACATGTAAGATATAGTTAAATTTCTCATCACAGTATATATATAATGCCATCATTCATTTCACTTACATGAAAGAGAGATGAACAACAGACAACAAAACTTCTGTTCACATTTTCCAAGGATAATAAAGTTGCAGAATATTAAATCAACCCTGAAAATGCTCACAGAGTTTTGAGGTATGGAACAACTCTTCTTCTTTGAAGAAACAAACATTAAGAATCAATACAACAATGGTTGACAAAACTATTCCACTTCTAAAATCATGATTTTCCAATGCAATTAGCTCTCTACATAAAACTATTTCGTACTTTTTAATGTGGAGATCTTCACTCTACTGTACTACTGGAAGCTAATCTACAGTGGCATTTTCTATAGTTAAATTCAAGTGCATATTAACAATTGAACCAGGCTGCTGCAAAAATATCTTAGATGTCATAATGTTTGAACAGTCTTCAATAACTGACCTTGAAACAAAAGAGGTGCCCATGAGGTGTGCCATACACTTCTGAGACATGGTCAGCCGTTTTGAGCCTTGTCAGGGTTTACAGTATGGGTACATTCTGATTTCATAGTACATCAAGGAAAATGCAACCCTGTTTGGGGGAGGGAAGGGGAACTATCAAGTATCTAAACTCTAAAAGGAAGTTTAACTATACTCACAACTCGGTATTTGCAATGATGGACAAGTAACCAAGAGACTGCCCCTTTGTGTCAGCGGTCAATTAGGATGAAAAAAGATGATGAGTACGGGCTGCCCATGCCCATCTGTAATGGTACATCCACCACTATATATTCTGTCTGTGGCACTGCTGTTAACATCTGGGGATTGGCCAAGTCTTCCAATGCCTCCATTGTCCCTGCTGCATTAGCTGCATTAATTATTAACTCACCATTCTTAAATCTGGCATCTGACTCACACTCACACTCATCATTATACTTCAAGTTACTCGTCTGCTTTGAGGGCCCAGACACTACATAACTTGAGTTTTGTCCTTTCAAGTCATGAAGCATCGAACTGCAACTCTGTCTACTCATGTCCTTCCTAGATGTTTCAGGATCCCATGTATCACAAGCAGAGTCTGCTTGATTGTGACTAGAACCAGACTGTACTGAGGCTATGGCATAAAAGGAGGGCTCCCTGGAAAGTCCTTGTCTTCCACATTCTAGCTGGAAGGGTGACGACAGCTGTGCTGTACACTGTGACGGAGTGAGCAGAGGTGGGGTGGTACACGGGAGAAGGGTTAGCAGACGGGCCGTACCTCCATACCCTCCACATCTGGCAGTACTGACGCATGCACCAGTTAATGAAGATTCACCAATCCTTGATCCAGTGACACGATATTCATGCGGTTGTTGGGGCTCCTGCACACTGGAGATACTCACAAGACTTAGGTCCTCATACCGTCATAATTCAGGGAACCTGCATACAAAGGGAAATAGTTTAATTCGAATTTCATCAATGTTAGTATTACAAATGACAAAATACATTTCCAAAGCAAACTATATACCTCAGATCCTAGCTGCTGCTAATACCAAATTACCCTTAAAATATCACAAATACAATCATAGAAAGAAAGTTTTATAAAGGGAATAAAACTCGCTCCCTATGTGGAAAGGCAAAAATAAAATGATTGGCCGACATTCTGAATGAAAGAGAAAATAAAATGATCTTCTTAATGATGAACAGCTTTTTAAGCAACTGTAATTAACATGAAATACCTCTTATTTTACTACTTCAAAGAATCAATATTTCCACATACAAAAGAAGAGAATAAAAGGGAAATATTCATAAAT